TGAAATCAGTGCTTCTTGTGGAAATACTATGCTGCTCCCGTTCAGGCAAAAGTCCTTTTGCACAAAGCTTTTGCGCAAAAGGGCCAGTGTAGACAGCACAGTTTTGTTTTGCGCAAAAAAGCCCCGATCGCGAAAATGGCGATCGGGGCTTTTTTGCGGAAAAGCTCGCTCTTTTCCACAAATGCTTTTAACGGAAAACTTTTCCATTAAAAGCATTTGTGGAAAATCATGCCAGTCTAGATGTATCCATACAGTACCTACATTCTTACCATTGCTAACACCTCAGCAGAGTGGATATACCCTTAAATCCCTCTAGGTATACATTTTAACCATGCTGTATTAATGCCCACAACTGTGCTAACGTGAGGGATAGAGGATCAGGGAGAGCATTACAGGATAGATCCATCTTCATGTGTGTGGGAGGTAAATACTAGATACGTGTGCTCTAGTAAAGTCTATAGGGGACCATACGTATGTCTGGATCTGAATCAGGGAAGATGTCATTACCATATGTAGCTTAGAAATATTTCTCCATTGGAATTAGTTATAATCAACAGCCAGTGTGTCTGCATTAGAAGTACTTGTAACCAATTTATTGTTAATTTATTTTATCCTGTTAATAATCCTCATACTAATTTATACCTAATCTTTGTGCTATCTCTAGAGGATTGTGACATTAAGTTTTTCAGCGAAGGTGGATACCAGGGATATAAAGCTGGCTTATCACCTTTATGAGCATTTAGAACCTGTAAGTTTGGGAGCTAACCTGAGCTTACTGAAGCAATTGCAAAAGCATCCAGAACTAGAATGTTTTATTCAGGAACTTGTAAAGAAGGGAGACGACACAATGATAATAGTGCATCATTCCACTATTCAAATTGAGACAATACTGAAGAAAGTGCTCCAATCCTCTAAATTTGCTCATTGGTGGGAATCTTTGTCAACCCTACAGAGATGAATAACATTTGGCACGTCTTAATTCATCCATTTGTTAGTATCCTATTGTTCAATTTGTAATTACTGTAGTCCGTGATTGTGATAATTCGATGGGTAAAGGTAAGTCGCAGGAGTGTAGCTAACTCAACTAGATATGTGCTTCCTTCTGTGTAACCTAGATACCCCAGGCAAAAGCAAGAAATTGCTACCAAGCTTCTAGGAGGGGTGGGCAGTAGACTGGGAGTTGTCAATGCTTTGAGTACAAGTACAGTAATTACTTGTTTAACACATGCCCACTTAACACATTTTCACAATAGCATGACTTTTGTAGGGAATGTTTTTCGAATAACACGACTATCCCCGAAATAACATGAAAATCAAGTGGCGGACTACTTCACACGGCAGTATAAGTTGGTGAAAACAGTGGTAATATGCATGAGCGGATGAATTCACGTAGTCACAGCACTCCTCCCCTCACTCGTGTTTATCTTTGTGTTTTAACACAATGCGGCGACTTGTGTTTATAAGTGATGTAATAAACATTTTTGGTGAGAATGATCATGAGTGGAGCTCAAAAGTAGTGAAAAGCTTGGAAAGTGCCATATCTTGCTACACGCAACTTTACAATGAAAAACAAAAAGCAGCAAAGCAGCTCTCTATCAAAAGTTGTTTTTTTTGTGTGTTCAGCCTAAAAAAATTAGCTGATGAACAAGATCGCCCTATTCCACCTACATCATCTAATGCTGATGTTGACAACCCAGCACCAACAAAAAATTGACTTTACCACCACCACCTGAAACACAACCCTCACCTTTTCCATTATTTTTAATGGGAAAATTGACCCCACATAGCATGTTTTCACTTAGCACAAACATTTTCAGAAACGCATCTATAGTGTTAAATGAGGAATTACTGTACACTCACACAACGTATCAGTAATGAAGGTCACAAATTGGCCTCCTTAAAGGAATCTTTGATAGTCTCTAATAAAATTGTAGAGTTTAATTCAAGGCTACTCAACATGTGGCCCACAGGCCACATGTGGTCTGCAGCCTGTTTATGGCCCACTGTACGGTTTGGGTTTACACAGGGCTCAACACACGGCCTACGGCTGGGATCCTTTAAAAATGGCCTCCATTGGGAACACGCTCCAGAACAGTGAGGTGTCTTCTAGGCAGGATGAGCATTGAAAGACACAAGCAGATGGGATGGGTACAGGGTGTTAGCATTTCTAGCCCCCAGGGAGGAGGTACTGGGAGTGCCAGAGCATTGTGGGAAGTGCTTTGTATTCATGCTTGTCAGTGTGAAAGAAGTTATTTGCATATATATTTCCATGTATATGCAACCACACTTAAGTTGCAGCTCTCGGCACATGCTGTGAGCAGGGGCAGATATAGGGCAAGGCAAGTGGGGTGGCCGCCCCAGGCCCCGCGCTTCAAGAAGCCCCGCGCATGCGCCATGGCGCCACCACGCATGAGCCATGTCAAAGGGGGGGGAGGCGATAAATTGTGCTGCCCTGGGCCCCGCAAAATCGTCATCTGTCCCTGGCTATGAGTATCGTGGCCTCTGGGACTTCCAAAGCTGAGTAGCCCTGGTTTAATTGACGTGGCAACGATGGTACCGATACCCTCTCTTTGGCAATCATGTATGTTGGGGGAGGGGCACTAATGGTTTTGTGTCCACCATTTTGATTTTTCCTCTATCAGCCTTTCTGTCCCTATCCTATACCCAGAAAAGGTGGGGAAATCTGGTCACATGACCCTAATCTGTTTGGCAACAAGAGGCTTTATAGGAGAGTGTTCACCCCACCCTCAGGACGCTCTGATCATTTTGTGTAACTCTGACTCTGGAGCCAGCAGCTTGATTGTGACCCATTCAGGCAGCTGGGGGAGGCTGTTGGCTCAGTAGGCCACCAGAAGCAGGGTTGCTTGCTTGCCATTGAGAGACTGGGGATCTCAAGCTAGAGAGAGAGAGTCTGATACATCTCCCAGTGACAGAACAACCCTATTTCTTCACACCCAGCAGCAGTTGCTGCCACAAAGTGTATTTTATTTAGGTCAAAGCAACAGCAGTAAGTCTAAGACTGTCAGATTCTTCAGGTATACTCGCACTCACCTGCCCTTCACATTCTACACACATGATGAGGCTGGAAGGGAAGAACTGATGAAGAAAGACCCTCACCACCACCACCTTTGAACACTTATGACAGTGATTTGCTATCCTGAGTTCCCTCTTTGCTGTGTCTCCTGTTCTTGCAATATCTTTCTACCTCGCCTGATTGAGAGCATGATGATATGATCCCCTTCTTATCATATTGGCCCAATTTTGTAAGCTGTAGTTTAGGTTCTGGTTTTATGCCACTGTTTTATATTTAACAACGGGATTTTGTTTTGTTTGCCAGTGCAAGGTGTCCTATTAGTTAGATCTGGTATTGTGTTAAATAAAGCTGTTTGTTGGACCAGCCACCCTGTTGTGTCCTCCATGTTTGACTAATAACTGATGATAAAGACACAGTACGGGTGGAGAGCCTTGGAACCCTTCTTTTCCAGATGCCCTAGCCTGCTATCGCTTAGTACTCTGGCTATCTTTTTCAGAGATGACTTTTGCTCATTGCATAGATGTGAACTTCCAGAGACATGACCACCAAGAGGCAGAAGATACAGGTGTTGCAAGATGGGCTCAGCGTACTTGTCACCAGGGCTGTGTTTGGGGCTTGAAGGAATTCTCCATGTGTTCTCCCCCTTTACCACTGTTACTGTGGTTTCATGCTCAGATCTATCCAGCACCACCAGTCAGAGGTAAGTGCATAAGCAAATAGCTCCTGGTCTGTAAATGTAAAAGTAGGGTTTTTCCCAGAGCAGCCAGAACTCTTGACACCTTGCGGTCTACTCTCTTCTCTCTAGGGCTACGTCAAGACTGCAGTGTTCTTTCAGAAGAAGCTCTTCCGGAAGAGATCTTCTGAAAAAAATCTTCTTCTGAAAGACAGCGTCCACACAGCAAAATTGCATCAAAAAAGCAATCTGCTTTTTTAAAAGATACCGTCCATTCAGCATGGATGATCTCTCGCATTTAAGCTGTGATTACTATGGATAGAGTGGCCACCAGGGTGCCTGTGCTTTTTCCCCTCTTCTTCTGAAAGAACTCCCCCACGCAAGCCTTTTTCTTTAAAAGCTCTTTCAGAAAAAGGCTTCTTCCTCATAGAAAGAGGTTTACCAATGATGGGAAAACCCCAGTTCTTCCAAAAAATTTTTAAAACAATTGCAGTATGGATGTAAGGGAAGTTTTTTTGGAGAGACGCTGTAGGGTAGACATAGCTTAGGGTTGTGTTTCCTCTCGCACACCACTGCCTAGAGGGCCACTGCCTGTGCTCCAACCCTGGAAGGGACCAGGGGCGAGGGGAAGCCCTGAGCCGCGGGGTGTTACGATTATCCAGGCTTTAGGTTCCCACCCCGCGCTGGAGCGATGGTGGCTGCCTGGCTGCTCCGAGCCGCCGAAGCATTTTCAGTTC